CTTGCCAGGCAGGCGCTTTGCCGCTGAGCTAAATCCCCAGCCCTCATTTTCATTTTTTCACTTAGGCTGTTTGCCCATCTTTAGCCTGGTTCTGCCAGTGAACACCTGCAGTGTGCGCCAGGCATGGTGCTGGGCACTGCGCCCCCAGAAAAAGTGAAGCAGGCACCGATAAAGTTTACTGACATAAAGCGTGTGTGACACATGCTCCGCCAACAATATAATGTACCACCCTCTCTGCAAATCCCACACAGCCTTTGATTTTCACTGACTGCTTTTATTGGTTTTTGCTGAACACTTGGATCCCTAAGGTAGGAGGCATATGGGGGCAGCAGACAAGCAAGTGAGCTTCCAGCCTGAACGCTGGTGGATATTTTTGCTCAGCTTCATGAGTAAGACAAAAGCGAGATAAGAAAGGTGTGTATGGGAACCTCATGCATCCTTCGATGACCCGGTGACCATGATGGAAGAGACTTCCTGGCAGAAGATGTCACTTCATTGTGTGTGCTGCCCGTGATACAGATACAACCCTCAGTGTGGGTCGTTAATGCCTTCCCAGTGGCCTTTTTAAGTGCAGAAGGTCAACACAAAAAAAATTCCGGCCCTGATTTCTAAGGTGTAAATGCTCCCACCGTGGCCAATTTCAAGCTATAAAGTGACGGCCCGAGACAAGAGCTGGAAGGAGATCATAGCTCCCCGTCATCAGCATTGCAACACACAGGGCGCTTCAACAGACTCGGGGGGACAGGGAGCAATAAAGCCAGGCAAAGTCACTGAGGTGATAATGCGAAGAACAAGCCGGTAATTGGGAGAAGTGGATTGTGATTTCTTGGAGTAAATCATTGACTGGTGTTTGTTCAAGCCGGCAGAAATGGAGCGGCTAGTGTGGTCCAGGAGGTTACCAGTCGCCTGTGTGGGGACCGTGTGGAAGAATTCAGGACTGATCCATGCTGTCTCAAAAACAAAACAGAGATGGTAGGGTGGGGAGAACAACTGCACCGGCGTGTTATTTTTAAACTAAAATTCTTCAAACCAGACTTACTGCCGCCCCGTGACTGTGACCACGTACATCCTAATCTGAGCACGGCCAGAGGCCACTTCTCAAGCGGTATCTTTCTCTCCTTGTGTTTTTCTACCTGCCGGTCTCCTTGTCATTCCCAGCAGCGATATCTGAGAAGACCTTGACCTCCCTTATGACAGATAGGGCTGCCGAGGAGAGAAACTTGCACTTTAACCTCACAACTAAAGCCACCCTAAATCAACAACCATTGGTGCGGATCTTAATTTTCGAACCCAAAGAGCCAGCTGCAGTCTTTTCTGCTTTTGTATTTCAGACCCTTCCCCGCTCAGACGTCCTGCCGTTGACCTCCATATGCTGCACTCGAGACGGCTCTAACCTTTCCTCCCAGGGTCAGACCAGGCCAGGGTTCACAACCAGTTTCTCTCCTTGCACACCTCTCCTCCCAGGAGTCAAGGGCAGCATGAACTCAAGTGTTCATCAGTAGATGAACGGACAGAGGAAACAGGGTCTAGCCATGCGATGGAGAGTGTTCAGCCTCATCACGTTCCGCTAGCTTGAACCACCAGCCATACGTGCATGGCCTCCCATGAGGAGGTCTGTACCACTGGATGGGACTGAGCCACACTGCCTGATGGAGACAGTCAGGCAAGTACCACCGGTGCGTCAGAGCCACCCAGAAGCCACACATGTGAATTAGGGTCCCATTGTGAATGTGTTAAACAAAAGAGAGAGAGAGAATCAGACAAGTGCTTCATCGTGGATGACCCTTGAGCACATCGAGCACGTCATGTTAAGAAAAAGGAGCCCGTCACAAGAAGACAGATGTCGTCTGATCTTTCTCATAGGAGCTACCTAGGGGAGAGAGATTCACAGAGACTGGAAATGAAAAGGTGGTTATCAGCGGACTCCTCTTTGCTGGGGCCAGGTTTGGCTTACAGCTGTCATGCTCCTCCGCCTCATTTCCCTCTGCTTCCCCTCCCCCATGGACTGAGACAGCTTGCCTTGGTGTCCTCCCTGGTTATTTAGTGGCCACCTCCTCCAGACAGATCCAGCAGGATTGCAGCTCAGCTCTCAGCCACCATGTCCGCCCCCACCCCTCCCGCACGCGCTCCACTCCAGACAAGGCAAGAGCAGCGGAGGAACAGCCCTAACATAGCTGAGACCAGGGAAGGCGGGATCTGGGCGCATTATTAATAACCCCACCGTCCCCAACCTCCAATGACACAGCTAACCCTCTTGAACATTCACCAGTTTCAGCTGCGCTGTTTTGTCTTGAAGATGCAATAGCTGTCAATCAAGCAGCTCACATGGCCCCGCCCCTTCACTGAATCTCCGCACACAGCTGCCCTACGCCCTCTTGAACCAATCACAGACCTGCACTTAGACCAAATCGGCAGGCCTGAATTTGAGCCAATCACAGGCCTACGCTGGACCGCTCACAGGTTGAAGCTGCTATATAAGCAGCACTGCCTCGCGCTGTTGGGTTGGTCTTGCTGGGCTCTGTACTGCCCGCCGCTACTCCTGGGGTGCTTTTGCACAGGTCTGTTAAAATAAAGACTAGCTCCAGCGGTCCTGTAAATCTGTTCATGATTTCTTTCTCAGATAATGTGAGCAGGGAAGGTCCTGTGAACCTACCCAGGATTCTTAGCCTGAGTAGTTTGGACAGAGTGGTCCCTTTGAAAGAAAGCACAATAAATACTAAAGGCTGTTAGCTCTGAAGCGTTTCAGAGACCAGCAACCAGTGATGATCAGCTACAAGGCCGGCACCTGGCAGACTTGACCCATGGTGCCCGAAGCAGCAGTGACCAGCAGCTGGCGGTGTCAACTGTTGACCTCCAGCCTTATCCAGCACTGCCTGGTGGCATCAGGACTGCTAGCAAAGTTGTGCTTTGCCAGTTCATGATTTCCATCAGAATCAAGAGATAACAACGAAATAAACACACACATACCCACACACACAAAAACTAGCCAGTTGGCAAAACCAGGGCCTCAGAGGGTGGAGAGAGTTGAAGGAGAATAGAGTTTCATTTTTGCAAGATGAAAGAGTTCTGAAGATATATTTCATAGCAATATATGAACACTGCGAAACTGTATACTGAAAAAATGTTTATGATGGTAAATTTTGTGTCTCATGTCTTCTGCAATGAAAAAAATACCAACTTCCCTCTCTCTCTTCTGGCTGATACCTTCTCTGGTTCAAGGAGGTCAGCATGGCCGGGGTTTCTGGTGTCCAGCCTGGTCCTCCTGGGAGGGCTTGGCTCTGATTGGACCAGAGGCTGCATCTCTCCACCAATCCCCATGACCAGGGCATGCAATTGGCTGATTGCTGAACCCCACCCACAACAGTGAGCTGAGAGTTGGGAAAGGGAGGTTGCCCAGAATCTACCAGTCCAATAGCAAGTGGGGCCCTGGAGGCCTGAGGTGCAAGCACTCCTTACCACCCTTGCAGTTAGTTGGCTGTGAGGCACACTCAGCTCTGAATCACATTCCCCACCACACAATATCCCAGCACAAGAGTGGATTTCTCCAGCACAACTGATCTAGAAATTTCTAGATTGGTGCTCTGAAGGCTGGGGTAGAATGCATTTGAATTTACCCCATCATCTTCAGTCCATTCATCCCTAAGTATCTATTGAACCAGTGGCAACAGCACACTGGAATGAGGCGAGCCAGCTCTGGAGCACTGGAAGGCACAGGATGGGTGGAGAAAGCAGCGAAGCCGGGAACCGGACCCCTGAGCTCCGGAAGACCCAGGAAGACAGTGAGGTCAGGTGGGAGACTGAGATGTGGACACAGAGGGAAATTCGAGACTGCGTGCTGGGTGACAGTTTGCTGAACACTGCCAGGTCCCACCCGTGGAACAGACTTAAAGTGGGCACTGTCATTGTGAATGCAGGGCCAACGTCCCTAGGTGACTGGAGTTTGGTGCTTGAGTTCCCCAACTCCAAGAGTCACTGGGGGACTGGGTTTGGCTTTGGGCCAGGCTCCTGAGTGAGTGGGGTGCCTTCCTCTGGGGAAAGCCCAGCGGCGGGTACAGGAAGTGCCGTCTGCTGGCGCTCTGGGCTTGGAAGTGTCTGTTGCTTATTATGTGACTCTTGAGCTCATGGTCTTGCAATTCTACGGAAGGGGAAATGGAGTTCTGGGACAGTGTGTGGCCCCATGTAGATGGCAAAGCTTTGAGCTTAGCTTCCCCCCAGCAAATTAGGAGGGAGAGAAGGAGCAGGACGAAGAGGAAGAGGAGGGTGAGGCTGAGACAGATCAAGAGCAAGAGGGAGCGACAAGATAAGGGAGGAAGAAAAGCAGTGAGGGAGGGAAGAAGCGGGGAGAGAGATGGAGAAAAAAGAGGCCTTCAGATCTGGAACCCATGTCCTCTGCATCACTGCCTGAGCTGGGTGCACTTCCCCACCCCCAGCCTCATTAATGACACAGGAAGGACTCGCATGAGCCCCATGCAGTAAGTGATAGCGCTGCGTGGAGTCATCATTTAGGCAGAAGACAGACACGAGGGCCCTAAGCGGAGACCAAGCCAGGCATCAGCTCTGCCCTGCACTTGCCTGTCCTTGTGTAGATAGATCCCGCACACTCACATCCTCCCTGAGGTCACGTGCATAAAGGTCCCCTCAATAGGTCCCGATGGACCAGGTGTGCAGCTGTTCAGATGAAGGCTGATGAGACGGTCAGAGTCCCTGCAGCCCCAGTTCTCTCAGATTTGAGGACAGAGGAGAGAAGTAAAGTGTGAGTGGAAAGAGAACGTACCGTAGAGTCTCAGAGAGCTGGGTGCGAGTCTCAATGACCTGCCCGCTGCAGTCAGCCACTGTCTGAGGACCTACTCCTTAGGGCCCAAGTGTCTATCCCAGATGCTGTGAGGACAGTGGTGAGCGAGGCAGAAGGAAAGCCCTTGGTCCCTGAGAGAAGCAAACCTCCTCTGACCCCCTGTCTGCCTCTACAGGTCTCGTATCCGTGGGTGAGGGGTCCAGTACCTTGGCCCAGGCCGCAGCCCCCTCGGGCCACCCAACAGCCAAACACGTCGCCCTCGCCTCCGCATTTCCCCTTCCACCAGGGCAGCCGGCCAGTGCCTGTGCAGCGGAGCTGGTCCCAGGGGTTCCCCAGGTCCACCGGGGTCCCGCCTGCCTCCCACCAGCGACCCGTGAGCGCCAAGGGGAAGATATTCTCCTTCGTCATGGACCACAAGTCCCCAGTCATCAAGCAAGGTGTGTACCAGGGCTTCCTGTGGGGGTGTCTGGGATGGGTTTGGAGCCAAGAGAACGAGTCTTGCTTTTTGTCCATTTATTCTAAAAATAGAACATAGTCAATTGTAAAAAAAAAAAAAAAAAAAAAAAAAAAAAAAAGAAATCAGAATAAACCAGAAATAAGGAAATAGATAAAAGTCAGCCTTGGATTTCTCAGCCACGCTGTGTGCGTGCTGAGCCCCTGCCCATGTGCTGAGCAGCACCCCGTGCCCGAGTGTGTGCAAATGCACACACATGGGCAGCAGGATCTACACAGACGCCTTTGATGCAGATGTGCGGATACACTGGCACTCACAATCCCCTTTGCCCACCAGCCCCCCCCCCAGAAACCCTTGTGGCACTGGGGATGTACTTCCTGTCTGCCACTGCTTTGGCTGGAACAGCCTCAGTGGCAGAGAAGCTAGTTGCTCAGGCCTTGGGCCCACCCCCAGCATCTTCCATGACCTGTGGGGTCAATTCCTGTTTTCTCTCCTGTCTGTTCAGCCCTGGACCCCTCAAAGCCCACAAGGGTCTCCATGGCTCCAGGTCCTCCCCGGTCTTGCTCAAGACCTTTCACCTAGTTACTTTCCTCCATCGCTGAAACAATCATCACTGCAAGAATATTCAAACCAAAGAGTAAGCAAGGGCTGGGGCCATAGCTTAGTATTACAGTACTTGCCTAAAATGTGTTAGGTCCTAGATGTGATCCCCGGAGCTGCCTATAAAAAGAGTAAGTGAAGAGCACTCTTAGCTTACATGATGTTCATCATCAAATGCGCCCTCTGTACCTAACCACCAAGTTAAGAAAGTACTCAGCCATTTCCCCCCAACATTCTAATATAAAATTTTCAAACATACAAAGAAAAAAGAATTTTACAGACTCTCCCACCTGATTCTACTGTGAACACTTTGCTGTATGCATTTTATATCTATTTCTAGACCCATCCTTCTGTTTATACATTAACCCATCTTACGTTTTGACGCACTTCAAAGCAAATTGCACAATCTGTAGTCTTCCCTTAAACATTTTAACATGTATACCATTAACTAGAGTTCAGTAGTTTTTATCTTTTAATGTAAAATTAACGTACAACAATGTATGTTATCAGTTGTTTCATAATACATTATCCTAAAACCTAGCCCCTAAAACAAACCATAAATAAAAACCAGTGTAGTATATAGTTTTGTTTTTGTTTTTGTTTTTTTGTTTTTTGTGGTACTGGGGATTAAACTCAGGGCCTTATGCATGCTGGGCAAGCACTGTACCACTGAGCTACATCCTCAGCCCAGTGTACGGTTTTTGTGGTCAGGAATTTGGGAGTCACCTATTCAGGTGGCTGTGGCTCAAGGTTTCTCCAAAGGTTGCCGTCAAGGTATCAGCTGGGGCTGTGGTCATCTGGAGGCTGGACTAAGCTGGAGAATCTGCTTTTAAGATGGCACATGCGTCCACATGGCTGTTGGCAGGAGCCTCGGTTCTTTCCTTGGACCTCTCTGTGGAGCTGCCAGGTGCGCTCCAGAAGGACAGCAGGCTCCCCAGAACAAGTGACCCAAGAATTAATGTGGAACCTGCAGCCTTTCTCGTGGAGCAAGCCTCAGAAGTCACTCTGTCATTTCTGCAGTAGCCTATTGGTTACAGAGGTCAGCTCAGTCCTGGAAAGGGGGCTCAAGCAAGAGCCTGAGTACCAGGAGGCAGGAATTATTGGTGGTCATCTTGGAAGCTGGCCAACACTGTCTGCCCTTTGGTCCTCCAGGGTTCACTCCCCTCTCACTTGTAAGATGCCATAACTTCCTCCTGAGGGCCCCCAAATCCCATCCCATGCCAGCACCAGCTCTAACTTTGTTATCTGAATTTGGTTGAGGTACAGATAGGACAAATTGGGTGGAGCTCCTTAAGGTCAGCTCCTCAAGGAGATTTATGATCCACTTGTCCACTAAAGAGACTGGCCATCTGTCCCTCACTCACTTCACATGCTGGGGTGGGATGGACACAGGATGCCTGCTAAGGACCCTCTTCCTGTTTGTAAAGGGCAAAAACAGGAAGTGTGGGAGTCACTGGTCCATAGCAGTTCTGAAATCCACCCCAAGTGTGTCAGGAGTTCCTTGATTAGATTCAGTCCTATTCTTGCCCAAAAATCACCTTCCCAGAGCTCTTGGTTCTGCCCCTGAGTCATCCTGCCTTTTCTTTTACTGGCATTCATCCCACCAGCCATGCCCACGGATTTCTTTAACAGAAACCACCTCTACTGCTACAGTTAGGACAGGGTTTGAATGTGTCCGCAAAGGTGCATGCACTGAAAGCGGGTCCTTTAATAGGTGGAGCCTATCAGAAGGTGGTTAGGTCATGCATAGAGGCTCCAACTGTGAAGGGATTAGTGTTAATCCTTTGAAGTGGATTAGCTCCTGGGAGAGTCAGTTGTTGGAAAAGAGCAACCCCTCCCAGTCCTCCTTGCTTCCTTGCTCACACACATTCCCCTACTGCATGTAGCTGGGCCCCTTTCCAGTCCTCCACCATGGAGTGATGCAGCCAGGGGCCCCTGCCTGGACACCCGAACCGTGCTGTTGGGACCTCCAGACACCAGAATCATGAGCCAAACGTTCATGTGTTACCCAGCCTAGAGTATTTTGTTACAGCAACACAGCACATGCTATGACCGCTACTTTGGGCGTCGAAGGCCATTGCTGAGAGACAGCACCCAGGAGCTGCCGAGAAGGCCCAGGCTGTGACCGACATAGTCCACTTGGACCCTTGTCCTTCCATGGCCTAACAAAGGACTGGCACACTCTTCACTTCATCTTTAGGCCACGTTTTCTGGGTGTGTTTTTGATTTCGGTATTTAACAGGGCCTGGTATTAATTCCTTAAGTCTCACTTGCCATCTGCAGGGACAGGGAGTTTCCTAACTGCCACAAGTTGTTATCTGCCCAAGTCTTTTTCATGCCGCACTTCTGCTGTTCATCGAGCGCTCTCCTCACGTTTTGCTGTAAGAAGCAAGAAGTAACCAGGTGACACCTTCAAGTGTCCCGCCTAGAAATCTCTTTGGCTAAATCATGTAGCTTACTGGGTACATTTCTAACTTCCCATAGTGCTGCAGGAAGCATGTTATACAACTTTCTGATGCTGTGTAACAGGGTTCTCATAACCCCAGGAACATTTCTTCATTATTTCTTAAGCTCTCTCCTTTAATTCACCCCACCCTGAAAACCCATTGGGTTTGTAATGACAGACTCTCTGAGGCTCTGGGACTTTACTAGGCATACTGGTTTGGATTTTAAACACCCCCAAATTCATGTTAAGACTCTCTTGCCAGCTGATGGCTTTTGGGGAAGTGAATGGATCATGAGGGTCCTAACACCATCAGGTGGATTAATCCATCACTCAAATTATAATTTAATGGCCTTATGGGGAGGTGGTAGAAACAGGAAGTGGACCATGGCCAAAGTCTGTATCAGCTACCTAGTGCTGTGTAACAAATAGCCCAAGACTCGTGGATCTAAAACAATAAACATTTCTCATCTCACACAGTTTCTCTGGGTCAGGAGTTTGGAAGTGGTTCTGCTGGGGGCTCTGGAGTCTCTTCCAAGGTGACTGCCCAGCTCTTGGCCAGCTGCAGTGATCTGAAGGTTGGACTGGGCTAGAAGGCCCAATTCCATGATGGTCCACTCACACAGCTTTGGTAGGAGGCTTCTACCAGGCTGCAGGAGCTCAGAGAGGTAGGGAGGAAGAACTACTGAGAACAGAAAACAGATTTTTAAAAATAATTTCCAGATTCACATATACTTCTCTGTTCATTGGAACCCAGCACAGGTGACCTGCTTTTTAAAATTCAACAGTGGACCCTGATGGTCTCCCTCCTTCAGTAAACTGGCTGCAAAATGGCTGAGAGCTCTCAATCAGATAAACTTGCCTTCGAATACGGACTTCATCACCTACCAGCTATGTGACCTGAGGCACGCCCTCTGCCATCTCTGTGCTTCTGACCCCTACGGTTGCTGTGGTGATAGGATGACCTCTGTCAAGAGACTGGCAGAGGATGAACGTGCACCGCATATGAGTTTTAAAATGAAGCTGTTGTCTGCCCATGCTCATTACTGGACTTGTATGCACTGTGGACAATGGGAAGAAACCCATTCCACACCCCAAACGTGCAGCGGGGGACCCAGTGCTGTGCCCTGCTGAGGGCAGGCGGTTGGCGAAGTATCAGGGCTTGTAAAATACCCAAGAAGCTTCCCTGCAGTTTGGCAAACAGTCGCCACTCCACACCTCTTAAAGTGCCTGGGTCCCCACACCTGCCACCAGTCATCCCGGCCTTCCGAGGGACTCTTCCCCACAGGGACCTCCACGTGATCCAGCAACCAGAGGGCTGGCTTGAGCCAGGTTGGCGGGATACAGCTCCTGGGTTCCTTTTGATACTTGGCAGTGGCCAGGGACAACTTGGGGGTGAGGGAGAGACACCTGTCCCAGCTCCCTGATGGCTGCAGATCAGGAAAGCAAGGCTCACGTCAAGCTGCTCCCCACAGCTCTCAGGTGCCACTTGCAGTAGCAGAGAGACCCAGAATAGTCCTCGAGCCTGTGCTGAGGTTTGAGGAAATCCAGGTTCCCCGTCCTGTAGGGGCCTCAGTCATCGCCTGCCAATCAGGGGCCACCTGAAGACTGTGGAGGCCTCTGGAGTTGGACCTAGAAGTGACATTGGGCGGCAGAAATCCAAGCTGGGACTGGGCTCAGCACCAGTGAGAACCAGCCTGAGGGAGCCCCAATGGCCCATGCTGCTCACCCAAATGGGGGCCCTTCCTGGGTCCTGTCTTTCAGGCCACACCGTAGGCCTCTCCCATGGGGGCAGGAAACTCAGTGGGGATTAGATCCCTGGACTTTCCAGGCCCTTATCAGTGAACTCTTGAATCACAGGAGACCCTCAGTGCCGGACACACCAGGACAGCCTTGACTATTCCATTCAGGCGACCTCTGAAACTCCTCCGCTCAGTCCCCAGCAATGGACGAGAGAGCAAAACTCCACAGCCAGGCCTTGAGCTGTCCGTGCAAAACGCTCTTGCTGATGGGCTTGACAGGGCCCAACTCACGCCCTTGTTCATGCACACAGCAGGTTGGTGGGGCACCTGACATTGGCTCTTGCCCTAGTTCTGGAGCAGTACCAACTCTGTGCCTTCCTGGGTTTGACTATGTGTACACTGGCATCCCAATAATTTGTTAATGTTAACACAGTGCTATCGTGAGTGCTGGAGTTTACCTGTGGAAAACCTGGAGACAGCAAGCCTTTGATGAGCAGCCCTCGCCTCTATTCTAAGGGGAATTCATCCCAGGACTCTTGTGGGTACCTGAAACCGTGGATTATACTCAACCACATATATACTGTGTTTTTCGCACATGCCCAACAGCATGGCATCCAGTACCAGATTTCACCTGTCTTTCCATATTTCATGCCCTGACGCCTCCTTGACAACATTTCTTTTGCCCTTTGGGGCCATTATTAAGCAAATTAAGGGTTAATTGAACATAGCACTGTGATTCTATGATAGTTGATCAACTAATAAGTGACTAATGGGCAAGTAGCATATACAGAGTGGATACACTGGACCAGGGGATGATTCATATTTATCATAATGCAGGAGAGATACCTAGGGCCCATGAGTTCCTCCTAATGGTAGAAAATGATGTAGCTGGAGATCAAAAAGGGTCCCCAAGGAAATGAAATTCTAGAACAGCAGTGAAATATGAGTGATATTTACTAGTGTAAAGGTATGGGAACAGCATTCCAAGTAGAATGGACTGTGAACGCTACAGTGTATTGGGGGGGCAGTGTGGCTAAGAGCTCTGCTCCCAGGGAACACAGCTTCAGATAGGACCTGGTGACAGGCAGGCTGGCAGGAGTCAGACCACATACAGTTGGCAATGAGCCATCAGGGCAGAGTGATAGGCAGGGGAAGGATGCCACACGAAGTCTGGCTGCATTATAGACTTGGAATGTGTTTGCCCCCTCAGGGAAAAGGACAGGGTTAACTAAGAGGGGGTAACTGCTTCTTTTTCCTTAGGAAGAGTTCAGGTTTATTGGCTTGTCTTATTGCCCATAAGAAATACATAAACAAACCAGTCTAGTGAAGAGTAAAGTCAGGAACTGCCTCTGACCCTAGTCTATTCTGGTGCATAGCTAGGAAGCCTGGGTGGGAACCCAGGGCCCTTTCCTCCTACAGCCCAGGAAACACAGAGGAGGGCAGTCATTCAGCATTTGAGGCCGAGTCTTCCCCAGGCACCAGCGGCTTCTACTTCTGTTCACTGGGGGATTTGAGCCCACAACAAGTTTGACAACTGGCAAGAAATCACTGGCTCTGAAATACATGAAAAATACAGAATCAAAATGATAAATAACCACAAATGTGATGGCACCAACCTCATTAATTGTTAAACATTCACTAATATTGCATCACGCTTGAAAACAATCCTTCCAGTTTCTCACCTTGCAAGAATGTGCAACAATTGCCCACAAATCATAGTGGGAAAATTTTAAATGCACCATTCAGAGCCAGATGACCACAGAAGAAGTTTTATAGAAATCGTGTTCAAAATTCCTACACTGCTGTAGTCAGGGTCAGGGTTAGCAAGGGAATAGATTTAATACAGGACACAAAATTTATAGGATTCTTTTCTAATATTCACCCCATAAGTCAAAAGCAGAAGAGTGCAGGAGATCTGTCCATGCATTATAGAACCAAAGAATCCAGTTGAGGGCCTGGATCCCGCAGCAGTGTCCTGCACGAGTCCAGCTGGAGGCCTAGAGCCCATGACAATGTCTCAAGCAAGTCTGTGTCAAGGATTTATACTGGGAAGGCCTAAAGGTCAGTGGTGGAAGCTGAAAAGTCTGCGCCAGCAGGAAGAAGGATCTGTGCCAGCAGGCTGAGGGATCTGCACTGGAGTCAGGAAGCGACACTCAAGGTAAGGACCAGAGCTCCCCTGAAAAATAACTGCAGCCATCCTCAGTGACAGTGAGGACCCAAGCGCCTTGGATGATAACAGCTGAGTTCATATTAGGAAAACCAGCACGACAAGCTTCTCCAAGAGAATGAACAGCACATCATTTTCCTCTCCAGTTCTCCTTTTATGCTGTTGGCAACAGTCCTTAGGTGGGCCTTTCACACCCAGTGCTACGCTGATTCAGTTCATCTGGGTGTGACAAGTTGACCATTAGTTAATCCACCATATACACCAAGAAAAAAACTGTATTTCCTACTGATGTCAGTGAAGCAGGATGCATTTGCTACCATATATACACATTGAAGCTTCCAAATGTAGCGGGGACAGTCCCTGAAAATCATATAACCAGCCCTTGTGCTATTGTGAGTAACTAAGAAAAGAATGTGACACAGCTGCAAATATTCAACTTTGATACATGGTCAAGTGCACAAGCAAGCTGAGCAAGAAACATTCCAACTGTAAGTCCATCTATGTTTTTGAAAGGTATAACGACGATTAAAAGAGCTAACGTTAAGTGTTAACGCTGTTCCCCTCTCTACTGTCACACTACTTCTGTTCACCAAAATGTGTGTGGTGGGCCCCCCATCGCCTGCCATGTCAGTCAACTTTCTGTCACTGTGAAAACATATTGGAGATAATCAAAAAGAGGAAACGTTTGTTTGGCTTATGGTTTCGAAGATTTCAATCCATGGTTGCTTGGCTCAGTGGCCTTCGAGCCTGGGTGGTTATGTCATAGTGGGAGTGTGTGGAGGGTGAAGATGTGCATCTTGTGAAGTCTGGACATGGCATGGTCCCAGTGTCCCCTTGAAGGGAATGTCCCTGATAACCTAACCTCCTTCCACTTGGCCCCGCCTCCTAAGTCCGTCATCTCTCCCCTGCACCACAGGCAAGGGCCCACGTCAAACGTCCTCAAGGCCATTTAAGATCCCACTGAGGAATTCTCCAACACTAGCTGGCATCCTATTACTCAGCACAATTCTGACACTATCTACCTAGAGTTGGTGTCAAATCCTACAGGTTTGGGGCTCAGTCCTGCAAGACACCCGCCCCTACAAGCCTTTTGCAAGTCTGGGCCTCCACTACTTCTGACCAACTGGCTGTAAATTGGGGTTCCCCTGATATATCCTTCTCAGATGTGAGCAGATGCTAGAATGGCTCACAGAGCTCAGGGGAACGCTTTGCTTATTCTTGCTGCTCTATTACAAGGAATATTTTTAAGGATACAACTGAAAAGCAAGGGGTTAGGGTGTGACTCACTGAGGGAGCAGCTGCCTAGCATGCACAAGGCCCTGGGTTCTGTTCCCACCACCATAAAAACAAAACAAAAGCATAAATCCAAGTGATTGACCAGATAAAGAGGTCCTTGGATGCAGTATGTGAGGGCACAGAATTCCCATGTCCTTTCTGGGTTCCCTGAACTCCAGGTACCTCCATAGTTGAACAGTCTGGAGCTCCCCAAGCCAAGGCCCCTGGAGGACTTATGGAGGCTTTGGTGCAGGTGTGCACTTGATTAAATCTTTGGTCATTGCTGATTAGCTCAACCTTCACCCCTTCTCTGTCTCCTGTTACCAGGAACCGCAGTCATCCATCATGTCATTAGCATGCAAAAGGATTCTTACCACATTAGAGATTCCTAGAGATTTAGAAACTAGGTGTCAGGAAACAGATGAAGAACAAATATATATATATATACATTTATTATAAACCACAATGTCACAGGGCCAGATAGTAAATGTTTTAGGGTTTACAGGTCTTATAGCCTGTGTTACAATCATTCAGTTCTGCCCTAGTACCATGAAAAAAACAGCCACAGATGATGCTTCAGTGAATGGCTGTGTTCCAATAAAACTTTATTCTCAAAAACAAACACCGGGCCAGATTTAGCCAGAAGACTACAAAATATGCTGACCATTTTTCTATATCATATTTCATGTAATCCTCGGAAGGGCCCTTTCTAATAGAAACCATTTATGTCCTTGAATTGCCCATGTGGAAAATAAGACAGAGAGAGATTAACTGACTCATCCAAGCTTACCAGATCTTTATGCAGCAATAAAAGTATATCTGGAAAAGGACATATCCAAGTGACTAACAGCACATTTAGTGCTGGGGGAGAGGAGTAAGGTGGCTCCTTCTGTTTCTAGTGCTTCTGTAATGTTTTCATTGCTATCCAAAAGTGAACATATATGCTCCAATTTTAAAATCACAATACAGTACATCAATCCTAAAGGAAACAATATGAAGGCTAGCCTGAAAATATTCTTCAAGGCCTTAGGAAACTCACAGTGTCTTTTGTGCTCATCTCTTGCCTTAGTGTGGACCAACACTGTGGACATGCCAGAGCAATCCATGGCTGAAGGAGTCCCTGGGTCAGCCTCTGCCTCAGAGATGTTTGTGGACCAGGACCTGGCCCAGCAGGAAAAGGTGAGGTATTCCAGGGAAGGACCAAGCTACCACAACCAAGGGACAGCAGAAGGGCTTGCTATCACCTCTTATTCTTTGTGGCTCAAAAGTTCCCTTTCTTCCTGTTGTCCAAGAAGCCACCCTTTATTTGAGCAAAAGTTATATCTTGGTTATATCATTTATAAACCTCTGTTTACTAAGTACCTAGTGTGTGCTAGACTGCACCCTATGCACTTGGCATTTGTTAGCTCCTTTAATCTTTGCCATCTTCAAAATAGATTTTTATCACTTACAACTTGCCATTGAGGGAACTGAAACTCAGAGAGGTTAAGTAACTTGCCAAGGATTGCACAGTGTGAGGGGCAGAACTTGGGTTTGGGCTGGGTCTGGCTAATTTCTAAGCTGGTACTTCTGACTCCCACATAGTAACCACTCAAACATGCTTTCTAGCAGGAGGAAGTGATAGGTGACATCACAGGCAACTGAGCCAAGGAGAGACTTGCTGCAGAACCAGGGCAGTTTGGAGAATTGAAGCAGAATGGGGTCAGGACAGGTGCATTTAGTAACGTGGGAAGGATGGGTCCTGGTTGATTTCACTCCACTTAGCCACAGCTTGGAAGTGTCTTTAAGAAGATTGTCCCCAAATGTCTTACTTCCTTAGGGATCAGGGCTGAGCCTATAGCAGGGCTACCTGGAGCTCCTGTGACACTCAGGACATTCCCAGAGATCCACAGCATCGAGTAGGGGCTGCTTCTGAAGCAGGTGTCCCAGGGCCAACAAAATATGACAGGAGTGGAAAGGCCAGCATTCAACCTGATTAAGGCTTGTGTCTAGATGTCCTCCCAAAGCATCATGTGGTCATGGGTGGGGCTTTTTCAGAGGTGGCTAGATCTAGAGTGTGTGATGCTGGGATTGATTCATGGTGTAGTGCTAGGCTCAAGGGCACTAAGATTAAGGGTGTGAGTACCATCTGGTCTAAATAGCTCAGACAAGATATAAGGAATATAAAGATCTGTGGTCATTTGTTGCTTTGCTCCCTTCTGTCCACCATGAACTGTTTATCCTCTGCAATGCCTGTCTGCCTTGGAACCAATTGACTATGGACTGAAATGTCTACAAACTGTGAGCTGAATAAACCCTTCCTTCTTAACTTGTGAGTGTTGAGTATTTTGTCTCAGCAATAAGAAAAGTAACTGAGACAGAATTTAGTACCAGAAGTACGGTCATTGCTGTGACTGTACCTGCCCATATGGTTTAGGAGATTTTGTAGCTGGATTATGGGGGGAAAGCTAGCAAAGGTTTGAAGATGCCTGCTGAAAAAGTAGACCTGAAATGCCTTAGGTGATGGGAAATTCCAGTCAGAGCTCAGAAGACCAGAGTGCTGATGGAAATTCTGCCAGTAAAGACCAGCCTTAGATGGTTCTTGCTGGGAAGAAGGACTGCATTGGCTGTTGGACTCCAGATGGTGTGTGTTATGGCCTGGCAAAAAGTTCATCTGCATTTTGCTCATGTCCAGAGACTTTGTCTGAGACTGAGATTAAGGGTAGTGAACTAATTAATTTTCTAAAGGAAATTTCAGGGCAGTCTAATGTTGATGTAGTGGCTTGGCTACTAATGGGGCTTTTAGCCAGACTTGTGTTGAGAATCAAGAACAAAGAGCCTGGCAGAATGACTTCAAACATTTTGAGTTTGGCCATAAAGAAAGCTCCAGTAAAGTTATGGCCTGCACAGATGGAAGAGAGGGGAAACTGGTCACTGAAAAGACCAGCAGGAAAAGGCCAAGTATTTCAGAAGAAGAGAACAGAAGGATAGCCTGAGGGCACCACAAAAAGAAATGGGACTCCTCCCTTTGCAGCCTCAAAACTGCAAAAGTGAAAGACTTTCCTTTGAGAAGAGAGACCCAGAGCACCATATTCCAGAATAGTGTCAGCCTAGGGAAGTTGTTCCTTGGGATTTGGTTCATAGGCACTGGGCCCCTACAACCAAGACAGAAGGAAGCCTGGATACTGCTTCAGTTGGTAGCAGACCTTGGTATCAGCCACATGATACTGGTTTTATGCACATGCTGGATTCAAGAGTTGTGAGATTAAGAAGGTGTCCACCCAGAGTTCAGAAGGAGGCCTGGTAAGCCAGGCAGTGTGCCCTTGAGAGGGCAGTGTGTGAAGATGTGAGTATGAAGCCAAAGGTGCAGTGGAGACCCCAGAAGTTGGAGAAGCCAAGAATGTGAATCATGAGGAATATTGCAAGGAGAGAGCAGAGCCAGCCCCAGAGAAAAGCCACGGGAGCTATAACCACCAGCAGTGTCACAGGGGCGGAGTTCACAACTTGCCACAGATTGCCTCAGATGCTGAAAGTGGAACCATGGGATTTAAAGTTTGCATTGCTGGATTTTGGACTTGCTTTGATCCCATTCCTTTGTACCCCCCTGTTTGTAACTTTTGGAATGAAAATGTCTATCTCATGCCATCGAATGTTGGAAGTGTTTAACTTTCCTTTTATTTGTGCAGGGGTTTGTAGCTAAGAGTTTGCCTTAAATCTCAGAGGAGACTTGGGACTTGGACTTCTCAGCAGTGCTGAAGCTTTTAGGACTTTGGCAACGCTTAGAGACAGAATAAATGCCTTTTGCATAAGGAATGTACATGAGTCTTTGGGGAGGCAGGCTTGGAATATTGTGGTTTATGTCTAAATGTCCCCCTGAAGCCTCATGTGGTCATGGTGGGGCTTTTTCAGAGGTGGCTGGATCTACAGTGTGTGACACTGGGATTGACTCATGGTGCAGTGCTGGGCTTTGGGGTGCTAGGATTAATAGTGTGAGTGCTGCCTGCCCTAAGTAGCTTGTAACAGATAAAAGGGGCAGAGAGACACTGTTAAGGCCCCTTGCTTGTTGCTTTTGTTATCTTCTGCCACCATGAACTATTGCCCCTCTGCCATGCCACCCTGCCTTACAGCCAGCCCATTATGGACTGAAACCTCTACAAACTGTGAGCTAAATAAACCTCTCCTCCTTTAACTTTAGGTGTTGGGTATCTTGTCTCAGCAATGAGAAAAGTAAGACAGACCTGCAATGTTATGCAAGCAGCCAGCCCCAGACTTAGTGGCTTCAAACAGCAGCTTATCATCTTTATTTCCCACAGCTCCTCAGCTGGCTGGCTGACTTTCTCAGCCGGTATCTTCTTGCCTGTACCATGCAACCGTGGTCACTGGTACTACGCCAAAGCTGGTGGTTCCAGATGACTGCGTTCTCTGGGTCTGAGGCAGCAGCTGGGATGCCTGGAAAGTGAGCCTCTCTACTCTGGCTCTTCATCATGGGCTTCTCTGGGGTCCTGGGGACCAGGACTAGAGCTGCACAGGCTCTGAAAAACTTGCCTGGAGATCATTCAGCCCCACCTCATCACAGCCTGTGGGTCAAAGGAGGTTGCAGGGCAGCCTAGATGTAGAGGACAGAGAAATGAGCTCTGCTCAATGGCACAAACTGCAAAGTATCTGTCCCCATTGTTAATCCACTACAGTTATTATAATGGAAACACAGTGCAACCATGTTTATATTTTTTCTGTTTATGATCCATCTGTGTCCTGACCTGCCAGAATTTTTCCAAGAGCCATAAACAAATTGGTTTAAGGGAGAGGAGAAGAAAAGCATTTATTGGCTTAACTTATTGGGAAAAGGTAAAGATTCTCTAGCGTCAGGCCTGGCTGGATCCAGGAGCTTGAATGATGCCATCAGAATCCTCTCTGCTGCCAGTTTCTCCCATTTCTTAGTCTGGCTTCCTCCTGCTGGATTCTGATGACCCCAAAGGAAATGAGATCCTTGTCCTCTTGTAATCAGTGTATGGATTCTCTGCCCCCCTTGGGTGGACCAGTCTGAGTGACACAGCATGGGGAGGCGGGACAGGAAGGAGCAGGACATGTGACCGACACACCTACCGAGGATGAGGAAGGGCACAGATCCTCACCAGGAAGACAGAAACCACAGCCGTAGACCACACCCCAAAGGCCTCTTTGTACACCAGTGCCCAGCAAGGGCCTGGCATATAGTAGGTGCCCAATAAGTGTGTGTTGCATGAATAATGAAGAAGCGCTTTGTTATGGTTTGTGTCTCCATGTCCCCCCAAAGCCTCATGCACTTTTAGATGGGGCTTTTTTGGAGGTAGCTGAATCTAGAGTTTGCGACTGATTCATGGTTCAATGCTAGGATTAAGGTGCTGGGATTAAGGCTGGGTGATTGCTGGGTCAGTCACTGATTGGATTGGGCATCACCTTAATCCCAGCAGTGTGGATAAGATAAAAGGGGCAGAGAGACGCTCATCTCCCCCTTTTGCTCTTCTACCTCTGGCCACTGTGAATTGGTTCTCCCTTGTTGCTTTTGCTGTCTTCTGCCTCCATGAACTGTTGCCCCTCTGCCATGTGCCACCCTGCCTTGGAGCCAGATGATTATGGACTGAACCCTCCACAGCTGTGAGCAAAATAAACCTTTCCCCCTTCAACACTGCGTATTTTGTCTCAGCAGTGAGAAAAGTAACTAAGACACCTGCTGACAGAGACTCTGAGTGAGTCGTTTTGGATGAAGCGAGGGGTTACCCTGGGGGACAGAAGCCAGCCCTTGAAATTGCACCACAGCAGTCACCAGGACCCAAAGATGCTGGGCAGCAGCTGGCAATGCCACACAGGCTCCCGAGGGACCAAGGTCTTATCCTTGCCTGCCAGGGAGCGACAAGTTCACCAGGCTCATTCAAGACCTTGCAGGCCATGAGCTGGCCTGGAAACGGCTCCTCTGCCTCCTTCCAACCAGTGAATGGCTGAAAGAGCAAGGATCCTTTAAGTGATGAGCCAGGTGGGTTGGCAGATACCTGTAATCCCAGCACTCTGGGAGGCTGAGGCAGGAGGATTCCAAATTCTATGACAGCCTGGGAAACTTAGTGAGTTCGCAAGACCCTGTCTCAAAATTAAAAGACAAAAAAAGGGACTGGGACCAGGGCCTGGGTTCAAACCTCTCCCCAAGTAATGGATCAGAAATTCTGCAGCTACATAACAAAGTACATTTAGGGATTTTTTTTTCCCAGTCTTCCTGATATTTTACTGATGCTTTCTGGTGAGAGTTTGGAGAACTGTCCCCCTTGTTGGGAAACCTAACAAATTATTTGGCTACATTGGGAGAAATGGAAGCCTGACTTAATAGCATCGTGGATAAAGTCTCCCGTGACATTTCCCAGCCCAGGTACAGGAGTGCACATGCGCAGATCACGCTCTTAATTGCGTCCTGACTCCGTTACCAAGAGCGCAGCTCTGCGTATGTAACCAGGAGGCAGGCAGTGGCGAACCAGGAAGGGAAACGCTTCAAAAGGCATCTGTATTTTTACATTAAATACTGGCCCTCATGATAGTCAAATGAGCTCGAACTAAATGCCATTTTCCTAGTTACCTTTCCTGGGTCCCCGGGGTACTAGACTGAGGCCTGGTAAGTTAATTCCTAAAACTATTAGAACTGACTTTACGGCTGCAGAAGCCCCCAGGCAGGACGAAAGCATAATTTTGGGACGGAGGAAAGTTTCGCTTCCTGTGAAGCTTGAGCCTTCTCTTCCCGGATGTTTCCCAGGCCTCGATGTTCACTTCCGCCCGCCCATCCCGACCTGGCCTTCTCCAGTGGCCCGGGTTTGCCCTGTGCTCTCAGATGTGCTCAGCTTCGCCGGGCCCACACCTAGCAAGCTTCCTTCTGATCTCTACCCAGGACGAAATAATCCTGCTGCTGGGGAAAGAAGTCAACCGCCTCTCGGATTTTGAGCTTGAATCCAAATATAAAGACGCGGTCATAGCGAACCTGCAGAACGAAGTGGCCGGGCTGAACCAGAAGCTGTCGGAGAATACAGCCTCCAGGAAGAGCGACAAGGGCGTCCCGAAGAAGTTCCAGGATCCCGATGAAGACAGCGACGCCAGACAAAGGGAGATCCAGAGCCTGAAAAGCCAGGTAGGAGTCGGGGACAAGTTGGTGGGAGCCCTGGAGTGGCATAGAGCCCCGGGGCGCAGAGCCCAGGAGAACCACCCAGACAGCCAGAGAAGGGCTGGTGGGGCATAAACCCACAGGAGTAGCAGCTCCACAGTGTCCCAGCATGGTAAGATCACTATCAGCACTTAGTAACTGGCCATGGTGGCACCCACCTGGTAATGGTAATCCCAGTACTCTGGGAGGCTGAGGCAGGAGGATTGCAAGTTCTAGCCCAGCCTGGGAAATTTAGTAACTTAGTGTTACCCTATCTCAAAATAAAAAATGAATGAAGGGCTGGGGATGTCTTTCAGTGCAACCCCAAATGCCACAAAAAAGTTAGGTATGTATAATTAGCAATTAGTAAGTACCAGCCACATGCAAGATTTAGGTGCATAACTGATTTAAATTTACAGTCCTCTGACACACCCAATAGGCAGGTGAGGAGACTGAGGCAGGCCAGAGATACCCAGGAACGCCTAGAGCTGGCACAGCATGCTGGAGGTAACACATTTTGAACCGTGGTCTGACTCCTCTTTCTATTTCTGCCCAGTGCTGTCCAGACCCAGCCAGCAAGCACTATGGGGACAGAGGAGCCCCAGTCCTGCTGCAAGAAGGCTGTACCCCAAACCCTGCAGGCAGTTACTGGCTCACTTATGAGGAATTTCATCAAACAAAAATTCTCCATCCGGAATGTCTGGATTTACCAGGTTTTTCCCTTTCTCTGGAAACTAGATCCAAAATTCTTTTTAAAAAATTGGCCATGGATTTTGTGCATAAATTACATCCTAACAAAGTTGATTTAAAAAAAAAAAAGTCGCTGGTGTGTTCCAGTCTCAACACAGTGCTGCTGAGAGTGTAGCCACGCTGGGGCCACTGGCTGCCTCTTCCCTCTCGGCCCTTCAGCTGCTCCCTCCGCTCAAAGTGCACAGCGCCAGTCCTGGAAGTGGTGTCCTAGAAAAGGACCTGGGACACATAGTGGCACACACTTGTAATTCCAGTCACTCAGGAGGCTGAGGCAGGAGGGCCACCCATTTGAGTCCAACCAGAGCAACATAGCAAGATCCTTCTCAAAATTAAAACTAAAAAAGGCTGGGAAAGTAGCTCAATAGTAGAACACCCCTGGGTTCTGCAAAACAAAAAACAAAAACAAAACAAAACAAATATCTATATACATATAGATATTTGTTGTTATTGTTTTAACTACATAACAAGAAAAAAATGACATGGTTTATGCATGGTGAGCCTAACCCACTCCACCAACGGCTAAATCTACCCCAGGTAAAGGACTAGGCCCGGTTACCACCAGGGCTCTGATCACACCAGTCTTTTTTTTATGGTTTCAGTTACCCACACATAAGCATGGCCTGAAAAAATTATATTATTTGTTTTTTCATTTTGAGACAAGGTTTTCCTACCTAGTTCAGGCTGACTTTGAACTTACTATGTAGCTCAAGATAACCTCAAACTTGCAGAGATCCTCCTGCCTCAGCCTTCCAAGTGCTGGGGTTACAGGTGTGCACTACCATACCTGGCAGCCATGGCCTGAAAATATTCAATGAAAATTTACAAGCATAAACAATTCATAAATTTTAAATAACTATTCAAGCAATTTGTTAGTTATTCTACTATTAGTTATTATTGTTAATCTCATCACATCTCCCTTATAAATTAAACTTTATCACAGCAGTGCCTGTAGATAGGAGAAAACAGCACTTATAGCACTCAGTACTCTCCACAGTTCCCAGCACCACTGAGGGCCTTGGGATGGATCTCCAGCAGATAAAGGGGGGACCATATCTGTCCATTTGTTCATGCATTCATTCACCCATTTGTTCATACAAATAAATATCTGTGGCTGTGTTCTCTCAAATACACATGAGCTCTTCTGGGCTCTGGAAATTCAGCACGAAAGAGGCAGACGTGATCTTTGCTTTCCCCCTTTACTTTTGGCTATAATTTGGATGTCCAATGTCCCCACAGGCCCATGAGCAGCAGTTAGCAACGCCACATACAAGCCTATTCCAGAGCCTGGCTTTAAGAGGTGGGGTTTAGTGGGCGGAAGTGAGGTCACAGGGGGCGTGTCCTGGGCCGCCATCTTTTCTCTGTCTTTGCTTCCTGGTCACCATGAGGTGAGCATCCCACCATAGCACTATTTCTCACGTGGTGCACTGCTCACCACAGGCCAAACCCACATGGACTGCACCCTTTAAAAACATGAACT